CCCTTCTCTCTCTCCCTTGTCCCCTTCTCTCTCTCCCTTGTCCCCTTTCTCTCCCTTGTCCCCTTTCTCTCTCTCTCTCTCTCTCTTGTCCCCTTTCTCTCTTTCTCTCTTGTCCCCTTTCTTTCTCTCCTTCCCTTTTCTTTGGGAGTTTTCTCTCCCCTCTTTCCTGTTTTTCCCTGCCCCTTTTCCTCGGAGGACAGCCAGTGCTATTTGGATTCCTGGAAAGAGTTCAGCTCACTCCCAGGATATGGCTTCTGTCATTCCTTCAGAACCCACTGGTACTTGCCCAGAGTAGCTTGCCAGAGCTGGATGCTGAGGACAGATTCAGAAGCCCCACCCTGTAGACCGGGTGGGACAGAGAGACCTGTTCCTTCCCGTATCCTCAGCAGCCTGGCTGCCCAGCCTTCATGTTCTGCTCCCATCCAAAACCATCTCAGAACCAGCCAAGACCAAGGGTCTCTGCCACCTATGTGGGGCCTCTTAGGGATGCTTAGTCTGGGAAGGGAGCAGGGCTTCTTCTCTGGAGCCTAGGCTAGGTGACTGCAGGTCACTGTAGTGTGGACTCCTCATGAGAGGGTCGTGGCCCTGTTTGGAACCCCCGTCTTCCACTTCAAGTGTGGGAGGGATCTTACTGTAGCTACACTTCTCCAGCTGGGGGCCACAGAAGTCTCTGCTACTAGACTGTCAAGTTACTTTTTTACCCTAGAAACACCTCTCCCCCTCATCCCCCTCAAAAAGAAAGGTCAGATAAAGGGGAGGGAGCTGTTTCCCTTCATCTTTAATAAAATGTCACTTGTGTCTGGAGCAGCTCTCTGTAAGCTGTAATGCCTTGGGGCAAATTAATATTTCAGTCACTTGGGGATTATGGGGAGCAGGGCTCACTGGACGCCATCCTGTCAGCAACTTCCTTTGGCCCTGCCCCGTCAGCCTCCTGTGGCCTCTTCCCACCAAGCTCCCCCTCATCCCCAGTCAGGCATCCAGGGCGGGCCTGCAGTCTCTGGCCCGGACAGCTTGACAGACGGATGAGGTTGGATAGGTTGAACCACCCTGATTGGCCCGTCAGCCTTGATAGCCCTGACACAGCAGTTGCCCTCCTCAGGCATGCTCAGTGCAGACAGGGCCGTCGCCTCGGCAACAGTGGGCAGGGACTGCGGAGGGGCCGCTCCCAGTCCAGATCTGCCACTTTCCCTCAGCATTAACAGAGTCTTTAATAAAAGCTTAAGCGGCAGCCCCACAAATCGACTGTGACAGTTGGTGGTGGAAATGAAGGGCCGCTGTCCCCGCCCAGGCCCCCCTCCCCGGCCACCCCGCTCTCCTCCTCCAAGAGGCCCTAAGCCAGGACAACTTTGACATAATTTTGCAATAATTATCACTTGAAGAATTGCCACACAGGGGTACACGTCGCAAGTGATCTCGTCAGCGGGAAGGACCGCTGACCGGCAGCAGCCAGTCTTCCAGGGCACCCCCCCCCCCCGACTATTCAGCCCACTGCCCTTCCTTTGGGTGTTTAGGAGCAGGGGGTACTAGACTTTGTGCCTGTGTGAAACCTGAGGAAACCTGAGCCGCTCTGATCCCATCTTCCCTCCCATCCCCTGCAGGAAGTGGGCAGCAGCCCACCCCCACTAAGTTCCCTCAGGCCCAGGTGAAGCAGGAGCCTGACAGTGCTGGCACCCCAGGTCCTCAGGAGGCTTCCCAAGACCGCAGCCTAGACCTGACAGTGAAGGAGCCCAGGTGAGGCAAGGCCAGAGAAGCTGCTGCACAAGCTGGCCTGGGCCCCCAGAGGTGGTCTGGGCCTCTTCTTCTCAGCCAGCCCTGGGGACCGAGCCGAGTTCACCTCCTGTCCTGGCTCACTCTGCCACAGAGCAGTCACAGCAGAGAATAGAAATCTCCGAGCCCTGGGCTGGCTGACTGGGAGGGAAGGGCCTCTGGGCCTGGCCTCATGGATGTCTGAGTTGAAGCCCCTTGGTTTGTGTTCTAGTAATGAATCAAATGGCCACGCAGTACCGGCAAATTCATCTCTTTTATCCTCGCTTATGAATAAGGTAAGAACCATCCATCACACGCCTCCCATTCCCCCACCCAGAGAAATTAAAGCTGTGCTGGGGGGTTGGGGGGATGTGTTTGTTTTTTAATGTTTTCCCTCTAATAAGATGAGTTTGTACCATTTAAATTTTGAGGCCATTTTTCATCGAATATAATTTCAGAGCCACTGCTTACAAATTAATTTAATGAACTGGCTGAAGAAATATATTTCAGCCTCTGACACCCTTTTTTTCCCCTTCGGATAGAGGGCTCCAAAAGCTTTTCCAGAACCTTCTAACTTCTCTGGCCCTCGGTTATTAATGTTATTTATTTATTTTATATATTTTTTGTTTGTTTAAGAAGGGGGTGGGGGAGGGGAGGACCAAAGTGGGAGCAAAGCATCAATTTCCACTTTTCGGCTTGAGTAATGGTCTCGGACGCCTTCCGGAGAGGTCGCTCCAGAACATTTATTTTAAATAATGCAGGGTCTTTGTAAATTATACATCATCTCAAATATATTTTCCCCTTCACATGATAAATTTGACTGCAGCAAGATTAATTTGGTTACTGTACACAAGTGACTGGGTTGAAGAAGGAGCTGGGTCTAGGCTGGACCTCGTGCGGTGGGTAGGTGGGTTCCAGCTGGGTACCATCCGTGCAGCAGCCCCAGCTGCTGAGGCCCTGCCCTGCTGCCTGTCCCTTCGTGGTTGCTCTCTTGCTGCCCTTTGCCCTCCTCTGGTCACTGTCCCCTGTTCCCTCACGATCCATGTTAGCAGCAGTGAACCTGACTGCTCTTAACCTGTGAAAATGTCTTATCCTACTTTGCGTGGGTTTTAACCTCAAGAAATTCACAGGGGTTACACACACACACACACACAGACACACACACACACACGCCATCATCCCTCCTCCTGAATCCGTTTCTTTTGAATACCTTCTGGTAGGAGAATAACCAGGGAGAGGCAAAGTGTCGGGAAAGCTGGGCTGCAGTTTCGCCCGGAGGAGAGGCCTCAGTTTGAATGATGATCCAGCTGCAGGCTAGTCCTCTACCTGAGGCCCTGCCTCCAGGGGACCAGAACCACAGATGGGCCTCCTCTCTAGCCAAGGCCATAGGGCTGTGTGTGTGTGTCTGTTCTATGCTCACAGCACGGCAGGGCTCAGAGGCATTCATTGTCCGTCCTGAGATTCCCCAGATCCAAGCTCCCCTCTGTCCTTTCAGATGACTCAGTGCAACCCCAGCCTTGGAAACTTGCTGAACATCAAGACAGAAGTGGAGGGGAGCCCCGCTGGGGAGTCCTCGCCTTTCTTGGGCAAGGCTGTGAAGGCGCTGGTTCAAGAGAAGCTGTCAGAGCCCTGGAAGGTGTATCTCCGCAGGTGAGGGCTCTACAGAGAATGGGGGGTGGGGGAGGGGGACACAGGGGACTCAGGGTCTTGCTCTCACCCACCTTGGTGGTCAAGGCCCCACCTCTGACTGAGATTTCCCTAATTGCTGAGCTCTTTCTGACCAGGTTTGGTACCAAGGACTTCTGTGACGCCCAGTGTGACTTCCTCCACAAGGTGCATTTCCACTGTGTAGTGGAGGAGTGCGGTGCGCTTTTCAGTACCTTGGATGGAGCCATCAAACATGCAAAGTGAGTGAGGGTCTTGGGGGAGGAAAGGGGGAGGAGAGTGTGTTCCTTAAAACAGCCCTATCCGTGCTATGCCCTGGACCTGATGGGGGATGAAGGTAGCACAGGCCTCCAGCCACCCTTCAAACAATACTCCAGAGCAGTTGTGGCCAGGCCACAGGCCTGAGTTCATAGGTGCCACCCCAGAAAGGGGACAGGCTTCCCTTACTCCTACGCACCGGGCCCTGGAGCACCAGGTGGGCTAGCTATCCTGCAGAGGCCCCGAAGAGTGTTTAGAAAGGCTACAGCCCAGCTGGAAAGACTTGGTTTGGAACCAGGGCAAGGGACCCTGGACGCAGGCCTTTCTAGCAACATGTGACACCTCTGTATTTCCTTTCACCTAGTCAATTGCAGTGTCTTTATGATTTCCACAGAGCTGAAAAGCAGTGCTGGCTAGCACTGCCTGTGCCAGCACTCAGAACTTCTCTAGGTCCATGTCAGGCTTCCTCCCCCAGCTGCTGTACCAGAGCCTACCAAACACTGTGCCCTCCTCCCTGTGAGTCTCAGAGCACCCTCTTGAAGGGAGGGGCCTGAGGAGGCTCTCTCACATGCAGCCCAGGTGGAGGGAGAAGCTTAGGACACAAGTCATCTGTAGATGATGGAGTTGAGTCTAGCCCAGATTCAGATCCATGGTGGGACCAATGGTTGGTTCTCAAGTCCTTCTGCTCAGGTAGGGTCATGGGAGGCCTCCAGAGTCCATGCTGGGAATTCGGAAGCAACACTCGGCCCTGTTGTAATAGGGTCACACTCAGGGCCAAGCAGGCATAGACAAGGAAGGGCTGACCTGGCAGTGGGTCTTACTGATTGATGTCCTGAGACACCCTCTTCTGCCTTCCATAGCTTCCACTTCCGGACGGAGGGAGGAACAGCAAAGGGAACCACAGAGGCTCCCTTCCCAGCCTCTGCTGCCGAGACCAAACCTCCCTTGGCACCCTCGTCCCCGCCAGCACCTCCTTGCACCATGGTCCCTGGATCTTCTCTGGAGGGGCCTGCTCCCAGTCCAGTCTCTGTGCCCTCCACCCCCACCCTGCTCGCCTGGAAGCAGCTGGCTTCCACCATACCCCAGATGCCTCAGATTCCCTCGTCAGTGCCTCACCTGCCCACCTCGCCCCTGGCGACGACGTCTCTAGAGAACGCCAAGCCTCAGGTCAAACCCGGGTTCCTCCAGTTCCAGGACAAGTGAGTCCCTCCATGAGCTGGCACCTGTCCCTGTGTCTTGGGAGTGGGTGTTGCCAGGGCAGCCAGGAGGCCCTGCTCCTCACCCCTCAGAGTTACACTGGCTGTCCTCAGCCTCTGGGACTTAGCTTTCCAGCTGTACACTTGTACTGAGCAGCCAGTAAGTGAGGGGATAACAGCGCAGGTGACCTTATCCTCAGTGATCCATTGTGATCCTGCCAGGACTGGCTGGGGTGAGTTAGGTATGGGGCTTCCTCAGGAAACTTCCTACAAAAAAGCTATGTTCCCCTGGGGCTGCCTTGCTGACCAACTCTGTGGTGCGTATCCAGGCTGAGTCAAATAGACATGGAAGGCACGGGTAGGCGCAGGGCCTAGGCCCCTCAAGGTCCACACAGTGGTCAGGGGTGGAAGGAACCTTCTTCACTTAATGGTGGTGGCTTCTTGCGGCGAGAACGGTGACTTTGTATCATAAAGTGTGTGGCTTCCTGTTCTCAATAAAAAGTAATAAATTGGATTATTTATACCACCTGAGTAACAGCTGTCCTCCCTCTCTGAGAACCTGGGGCTGGGCCCATGGCATGGAAGGGTACAGGGCTCTTATGTCTCTCCCGTTTCCCCCGCACTCTCTCCCTTCCCTGATGTGGTAGCCTCCTTAGCTTCCTGGCCAGAGCTCCCAGCACGGGTCCATTCTCTGGAGACTACATGTCTCCATAGCCTGGGGGCTCCCAGTCATGGCTGCAGCTCCCTGGCATTCAACCCTCAGAGACACTAGCGGGTGTTCCAGTCCTTCCCCATTTATTATCACCCCCTTCTCCCCCCCCCCCCCCCCCCCCCCGCCACCCCGTCACTCCCCAGGCCCCTAGGTTCTCTGGGCAGGTGAGCACCGTAGGCCTCAGTTGACTCTGGGATGTCCCAGCAGCTGTGAGCCCTAGCCAGAATTGACACCAGGCACGTTACCACTTGCTCACACCCCACCGTAGTGGCACTTCCTGGCAGGGCTGCCCACCCATCTGCAGTCTGTCAGTCAGCCACATCCACGCAGTCCATGTCTTGCCAGCCAAGCCCTTGCTGGCACCCAGCCAGGAATGGCAGCACTATCCATTATTTTTATGCTTGAGAAGTTATTGCAGTCCTCTTATCTCTAATCCTGAGGTGTGGCCTTGGAAACTACATGTCCCAGCATGCACTGCTCTGAGCACCCTGACTATGGCAATCCCCATCTACCAGGCAAGAGTTTCCCAAAAGGAGACAGGGATGCATGCTGGGATCTGTAGTCTCTATCTGAATGTTCCCGTTGAGCAGGAGGTTGACCCGCTGCGTTCCCCTTGATTACACTCCTGGTGACTGAGAAGGGAACCCTAACACAAACCAAGAGAGGACATCAGTGGTAGGGCTTGGGATGCCAATGACCTTCTGGGCTGTGGTTTCCTTCTAGCGATCCATGCCTGGCGACCGACTGCAAATATGCCAGCAAGTTCCACTTCCACTGTCTCTTCGGTAACTGCAAGTACGTCTGCAAGACCTCGGGCAAGGCCGAGTCCCACTGCCTGGACCACATCAACCCCAGCAACAGCCTGGTGAACGTGCGAGACCAGTTTGCTTACTACTCTCTGCAGTGTCTGTGTCCCAACCAGGTCAGTGAGGCGGGGCGGGGGAGGCCCAAGGCCCAGGGCAAGCTTCTCCTGGCAGAGACTCCACTTTTCACACCATTTTTAAGTTGGCCTGCCCTAGACATTGGAAAGGACACTCACTGTCTGTCCCCGGAGCCCCTAGAGGCCCCTGGGCAGGGGTCCAGACTGATGTTCAGTTGGTGAGGGCTGTCATTTCAGGCCTAACTCCCAGTGGTGACTAAATGCTATCTCTGCCACTGTGTGTTTGACATCATTCGTGCCCATCCTGGAAATAGCCACGCCCCCTTTCCCTAGAGGCCTAGACTTTTAAAATAGGCTCATAGGATAAAGAAATAGAACAGTCCATGCCTGGCAGAAAGGACAGATCAGGTTCTCTTTAAAGGCCTAGTCTCCAAGATTGGTAGGCTGCCTGAGTAGTCACAGGTAAGGTCTAAGTGTGCAAAAAAGACTTTTACGATAGATTAGTGATGTCTGCCTAGGTTCGGCGTGCTGGGGTAGATTTTTGATGTCTGCCCAGGTCTGGTCATACAGGGCCGAACTTGAAAACAGATTAGTGATGCCTGTTCTGGGTGTGGCATTAGCAAAGAGGTGCGAGATGTTTTAATGAAGTGATGAAGCAGACAGACTGCTTCACTCCTAACTCTGAGCATGGAAGAACACAGGCTCAGAGAACCTTCCATGGCCCAGACACTAGCGGGAGCTCTCAGATTTTCCTGCCCATCCTGACGCACATACGCCTTCCTCCCCGCAGCACTGCGAGTTCCGGATGCGGGGGCACTACCACTGCCTCCGGACGGGCTGCTACTTTGTCACCAACATCACCACCAAACTTCCATGGCATATAAAGAAGCATGAAAAGGCTGAGCGACGGGCAGCCAACGGGTTCAAATACTTCACCAAGCGCGAGGAGTGCGGAAGGCTAGGTACTGAGGCCAAGGATGGGCAGGGACTTCCAGTAGGGTTGAAGTGCAGCTCTGATCCCTGGGGGTCCTGATGGCCTGGGCCACCTCTCCAGGAATTCACTCTTGCTGTCACCACCCCAGCCCCTTGATCTGTGAAAGATATCACAGATGTCATATGCCAAGTGTCGTCCGACAAGTTGTAAAAGCATCAGAGTCCAGACATCCCAGAAAGACAGTGAGGGCAGCTCCAAGCATCATCCGCACCCCAAGACAACACCCTGGGACCACACCCCGGCACCCCTGCCTCTCACTCTTGCTTCCTTGAGTGGACACATAAGACTTGGACGTCCTCTGAGGACGCTCTTTAGTTTTGAGGGTTTTGTCCAGAGCAAGCTGTTTGTTCATCTCAGTTATTTATTTACTCTGAAAGGCGTTTAGCATATGCTTACAATGAAGCTCAGTACTGGAAACCTGTAGTCAAGTACATTATAGACCCTGCTGAAGTACGTGGTGAACGGGATACACAGAGGTTTGGGTGCTTCGGAGCTTGGTAGCAGGTGTCTTCCGATGCCTCCCTGACCTTCCTGCTCTGGCCCAAGGCACTGGGGCCTGTAGGGAAGAGCCTCAGGCCCACATCCCAGAGGCCACAGCCAACCCATTAGCCTCAGGACAGGACAAGTTCCTATAGACCCGAAGATGCGCGGCAGGACTTTCCTAGGGGTAGACCAGAAGCTGGAAGACAGCGAGTGACAGGTAGACCGATGAGGTGTTTGCCGGCCAGGCCTCTCCTGGCCCAGTAGTAGTTGTGGCAGGGGCTTGAGGAGCCCCTGGAGGCTAATGCCAGCTGCATTCCGAGGCCTCCGTAGGCGCGGGGCGAGACAGTCCAATTTAACTGCCAGAAGAGAAAGAAAACAAACCTTTCCTTCAAGTGTTAGTTCAGAAGGGATCCCTGATCCGAGGAGGGCTGGTAACCACAGCAACAGGTGCCCACACCTGGTGGCCTCTGCTGTACCAGGCTCGGCTTACAGCTGTCCAGGGATTCTGGAGTGGTTCTTGTTTACTCAACTTTTGGTGGTTTTGGTAGTAGTTGGGGCCAAACAAAGCTAGGAGATGACATGAGACACCTGGCCAGCCTGGTACCATGGCAACGGACAGGCCCTCGCCTGCCCTTAGCTGAAGCCTTTTAGGTCCTGCCTGCTGTTTGTTCTCAGCCTAGAGCAAAGCAGAAGCAGGCGGGGCGGAGGCAGGGTGGAGGCCAGCTGACCAGCAATCTAAATAAGGTGGCTTGCTGAGAGGTTCTTTCCTAAAGGTCCCTTGTCGCAGAGTTGTGGCTTCTCAGTGAAGAGTGTATAGAACTAGGCCCCTCTACAAGCCAGAGGGGAGGCCAGGGATGAGACAGCCAGGCAGATTTAGGCTTCCAGGAGTGAGCTGGTTACTGGTGTTCCCCCCAGATGCCACCGGCCTATGAAGCACGCCACCTCTGCCCAGCACACTACCTGGGGAGGCTCACGGCTGCTATATGTTCTCATCCATCCACAGGCTGCAAGTACAACCGAGTGAATAGCCACTTCCACTGCATCCGGGAAGGTTGCCAGTTCTCCTTTCTCCTCAAGCACCAGATGACCTCGCACGCCCGGAAGCACATGCGGAGGATGCTGGGGAAGAACTTCGACCGAGTGCCCCCTTCCCAGGTGAGACCCTCCCGGCACGGCTCACCTGTCCTTCCTCTTAGTGCCGTGCTACCCATAATGCCCAAGGAACCCGTGGGCTACTACCTTAGAGCCCTTCTCCTTTCTTCCAGGGTCCCCCGAGCCTAATGGATGCTGAGACGGACGAGGGCATGGACTATACAGGCTGTAGTCCTGGCGCAGCTTCTTCGGAGTCTTCCACGATGGACCGCAGCTGCTCCAGCACTCCTGTAGGCAATGAGAGCACAGCAGCCGGTGAGTGTCCCAGGCCTAGCCTTGTCGTTCTTGGGACACAGGTCGATCGATAGTTAAGCAGCCTCCAAGGAGGCCAAGTTGGAATGCAGCAGACAAGCTTTGTACAACATTGGGCGTTGTATTGAGGCCTCTCCGGTCATTCTGCCCAGGCTCCCTGCTGCCTTCACTCCCTCTGGGTCACTTCGGTGTCCCCAGAGAGAGACCAGGGCTTGTCCCATTAGCCCCAGAGAAAGCAGCATGGCCCCTGTGCCAACCCTCCTCCTGGTCTCAGTCCCAGCCTCCATCCAGGACCCAGGGCCCCCCTGAGAGGCCCTGTCCTCCGCAAGGCCCTCCCTGGACACCTGGTGCCCACCATGAGCTCTGCCCACACTGCACCAGCAGCCTCTCTCCTCCTTCCTTGCCGCTCCTCTCTGCTCATCTGTCCACATATTTCCATACCGCACCTTGCCATCGGTTTCTCATTTGGGTTTTTTGTTTTTGTTTGTTCGTTTGTTTTGTTTTTTTCTCTGCTTTTCTCCATCCTCTCCAGGCTGCCCGGTTCCTCCTCCTCCTCCTCTTCCTCCTCCTGCTGCGGCTGGTGACGAGGCTGCTCGAGGGGCTGCACCGCCCACCCTGATTCCATCTTTCCCACCGGCTGTGCTCCGGCCTCCCCTCCCTCCCCTCCCATGCCTCTTCTCTCCGTCCTGTCTGTCATACTCTCTGCTCAGTGCCACTCTGGGAGTCAGCCGGGGCCTGGCCCAGCCCATCAGCAGCCCGCCCAGCTTCCCGCCAATCACTGCCACTCCAACTCCAGTAAAAAGTGACGCCCCCCTAGTTCAGGATGCTGCAGGTAACTCAAACATGCCTTCTTGCCAGTGTCTGACACCCCAACAGAGCCTCAAGGCTATGATCCAGGACTGGATCTTTTCCCGTGGCCAGCAGAGCCAAGGGCAGGGCTACCCCACACCCCTAACAGCCAAATACCTCAGAGAACAGATTACTGCCAGGTGACTCGTGAGGTCCTTGTCCTCCTTGGCACTGTGAGGACAGAGCCCGTGCTATTCTCAGTTCGCTTCGGAGCTGCCCAGGTTTGGAAGGTTCTGATACTGGTTTGAGCCTCCTTCCTCTTCCAAAGCTAGATGGGGACAAGAAACCTACGGTGCCTCCAGGCTCACCCAGCACTCAGTGGCAGATAGATAACCCTCGCTGTCCCAGCCCCATGTCCAGTGGCCTTGTGGGAATGGTGTGCTTGCCCTTTTCCTGGGGTAGACATCACCCCAGGTCTCTATCCATCCATTCCTGTTTCACCTTCTGACTGAGCCTAGGTGATGTTCCGATCCCCAGAGCTGCTGGCCCCGAGCAGGGCAAACTGAACCCAGTCCACTGAAAGCTCTCTTGCCAGCATAATCAGGCAGAACCCCGCGACTTCAAGCTGCAGTGCTCTGTCCCCCACCGATTTCCAGACCCTTGCCCCCTGCCTGGATGCCCCTATGCTGTCCTAGCCCTTGATTTCTCTTCAGCTGCCAAGAGTAGATGATTGAGCCCTCCTCCCCCCAATATACTATTGCAGAAGTTTGAAGGCAGAATGGTAGGTAGCCAGGCATCATCCTGGGGCGGCTCGGGGAGGAAGATGCTTCCATCTACTCTGGGCAGGGCCTAGCCTGGGGTCTTTTGGTCCTAGGGAATTTGTGACTGAATGCTAGAGCTGTATACTTCATCCCCGGTGTCAGTGCAGCTAGCAGGACACCACCACAGGTGTCCTCAGGTGCTTCCCAGGAAGGCATAGAGAAGACTGTGGCCAGTCTTTCTGGTCCCTGAGAACCAGGGTGGGACCAGGGTGGCTGTCAGAGTGCCTGGATCTTGGCTGGGCTCCTGGGTTCAGGCCTTAGGAAAGGCTCCAATAGAGAGGGCAGCAGAGCCTTCTGGGTATTTCTACGGGGTCCCTCAGCCCAGGCAGAGAACTCCAATACCTTAAAGAAACTTCTGGGATCAAGAAGATGCTGCCAGGGGCAAGGAGTTAGAGCCCCACGTGGCCCTGGAGCATCCTTGCTTCCAGGAGGCAACCCCCCCCTGCACAGACAAGCAGGCAGCCGGAGACTGGTGAGCGGGCAGGAAGGGAGCTGGCCTGTCCCTCATTAGAGGCAGGCGTGTGATGGCGTCCTGGCCAGGGTCCAACTTGGGTAATTACACTCCACCGACCTAGATTCCCAGCTTCCCCTTCAGTTTCAATTATCGCTGGGATGTGTCCTCACTTCCCACCCAAACTGGCCAGGAAGCAGTCGCCACATCCCGGCAGAGCTAACACCCGGGATGCCTGTGTGGTCATCCCGTAGACCCAGAAGACAGGGGAAGCCTGGGACTCCCTGCTGTTCCCAAGGGGACCATGGGAGAGGCTCCTAGCCAGGGGGAAGCCAGGGTGTTGTTTCTAAGCCGTGTCTGCTGGCCACCATGCCAGGATCAGGGGCCCTGTGTGGGTGTGACCCTGGGAAGGGTGCCCACGTGGATACTGCTGCCAAAAGGGCACCCCTTCCACGCTGACCTCTCTCTGCTACTCTCTAGGGAACACCATCTCCATGCCGACAGCCTCGGGGGCCAAAAAGCGCTTTTGGATCATCGAGGACATGTCTCCCTTTGGCAAGCGAAGGAAGACAGCCTCGTCTCGGAAGATGCTGGACGAGGGCATGATGCTCGAGGGTTTCCGGCGCTTTGACCTCTACGAGGACTGCAAGGATACAGCCTGCCAGTTCTCACTCAAGGTCACCCACTACCACTGCACGCGGGAGAACTGCGGCTACAAGTTCTGCGGACGCACGCACATGTACAAGCACGCACAGCACCACGACCGCGTGGACAACCTGGTGCTGGACGACTTCAAACGCTTCAAGGCCTCGCTCAGCTGCCACTTTGCTGACTGCCCGTTCTCGGGCACCAGCACGCACTTCCACTGCCTGCGCTGCCGCTTCCGCTGCACGGACAGCACCAAGGTCACCGCGCACCGCAAGCACCACGGCAAGCAGGACGTGATCAGCGCCGCTGGCTTCTGCCAGTTCAGCTCGAGCGCCGACTGCGCCGTGCCCGACTGCAAGTACAAGCTCAAGTGCTCGCACTTCCACTGCACCTACCCGGGCTGCCGCCACACAGTGGTGGGCATGTCGCAGATGGACTCGCACAAGCGCAAGCACGAGAAGCAGGAGCGAGGGGAGCCTCCCGCAGCCTCTCCGGGGGCGCCCGTCAACCTGGACGGCTCGCTCACGCTGGCCGCCGAGCAGGGCTCGCTGCTCTTCCTGCAGTCAGCGGCCGCGGGCCTAGGTCTGCTCGGGGACACCGGGGACCCCGGCCCACCTGCCACCGCCCCCGGGACTCGGGACGGCCCTGCTGCGCCCGCCCCCGCCCCCGCCGCCGCTGCCACCACCACCACCGCCACCACAGCCACCACAGCCACCGCTGGGGAGTCCTCCCAAGAGGACGATGAGGAGGAGCTGGAGCTGCCGGAGGAGGAGGCCGAGGACGACGACGAGGATGACGATGAAGAGGACGACGACGAGGAGGATGATGATGATGATGACGACGACGAGGACCTGCGCACCGACTCCGAGGAGTCGCTGCCCGAGGCTGCGGGCGAGGCTGGCGCGCGGACCCCGCTGGCGGCCCTGGGTGGCCCCGGCCCCGCGCCCACCGCCGCGTCCCCCTAGCCGCCGCGCCACCCCAGCCCCTCTAGAACTGCTCTGTATGTGAACCCCTGTGTACAGACCCCGCTGGGCCGCCCCAGGGAGTGAGGCGCCCTGGCCCCACCGGTGCTTCCGGACCCCGAGTCCGTCTCAGGGCAGAGGCGGGGACCCCTCTGGTGCTCCGGGCCGCCCGCGCCCTCCCCGCCCGCCCGAGCGGGTGTTCAGGGAATAGCAGGTGCTGTGTCGGGGTGGCAGCGCTGACCTGCGCTCCTCTCGGTACCCACACGCGAGGTCCTTGTCTGCTCAGGGGCTCCCCGCGGGGGTCACCGGGTCGTGGGGACGGCAGGCTCCTGTAGCATCTGGTTGCCCCCCCCCCGCCCCAATGCAGCTAAGACCTCCCCCTGACTCGGGGGAGGGCCGGCCGAAGACGGTCAGCATCAGCACGGGTGACACTACAGGGGCATGGAGGGAATCTCATGGAATCAGCAGCAAGCCGGCATCCCCGCCCCCAAGCTATGGTCCGAGTCTGGTGACACTCAGGCCCCAGCCCACTCTCCAGCGAGTTGAGGCTGTGGCCCAAAGCTGGCACAGCTGGTGGGGTCCTGGAGGCGAGGGTCTCAGCTACTCTGGTGCAAACAGGAAGGATGCGACTGGTTTTGGCTTTAGTAATCAAAATGGAAGAAAAACAAAACAAGAAAGTTGTACAGTATTTTTCCTGTAAAGGTTATTATTCTACATAGAACAAAAAGAGAAGGGGGGGGAATGGAAAAAAAAAAGGTGAGTGCGGGGGAGCCTCCCCTCTCTCGCCTCCAGACCAGCCCTGGGATTGGGGACCCGAGTGCAATTGCTCCTGTGGAATTGTTTTGCATTTATTTTAGAGGCCTCAGTTTGAGGCTTTGTCCTCAACACTAGCACTGATGGGGGCTGCGTGATTCCCACTTTTAACTTGAATTTTGTAGAGACAAGGAAAAAAAAAAAGACTATTCTCTTGATACAAGTTTGTAGCTAATTTAACAGTTGAGGGTTTTTCTGTTGGTTATGCGTGTGGCTTTATAGGGCTTTTTTTTTCTCTCTCTCTCTCTCGTTCCAGTTATGTTTTATTATTTTATTCAGGATGCTTTTGTGCAGGTGCAGCCCACCCAGATATGGTTCCTTTTCCAAATGCCCCTTTCCTGGAGGCAATGAGTCCGCTTAGATTCTGCACAGGGCTCACCTGTAGGCACTTACTTGGCCAGAGGCTGCTCCAGACTCTGGTAGGGGCAGGCTGCCTGAGGCAGGGCTTGTGGGATAAACCTGTGGACTCCAGGTTCTGGCTAGAGCCAGGCTGGAAGAAAACAGGCCAATCCGGCAAGTAATGGAATCCGGAATCGTAGGAGTTGCCATCAGGAAGCCCCTCCCACAGGTCTTCAAAGGAGGTCTGCCCAAATGGGGCAGTGGTTTTCTTTATCTGTCTCTGAGTATGTGTGTGTGTGTGTATGTGTGAGTGTGTGTGTGTGTGTCCCCTCTTGGCTGCCCACAGCCAGAAAGCCAGGACCATCTGAACTGGAGAGGGAGCAGGGAGGGTACAGCGGAGAGACGAGAGTACCCAACAGGAAACAAGTTCATTTCTAAAACGGCCCTGCCAGAGCCTCCATTGCTGCTGCTGAGAGTTCGCCCAGATTCTGACCTACCACAGGACTCTGCCTCTGTGGAAGGAGTTTTGTAAAGGAAAAGAAAAAAACGAAACAAAACAAAAAATTTAAAAAAAAACCAACATTTTTCAATGTAGCAAATCAAATAAAAACTTAAAAAAGAAAAAAAGAAGAAGCCGCGGAGAGTGCGCAGTGTAGCCTTTTGTAAGCTTCATATTGCACACTAGGACTATAAGCCATTGCTAGCTCATCTTGAATTTTAATGTGTAATTTTTGTTTTTTTCTTCCTGTGAGGAAAACGATGCCTGACCCACCAATGCTCTTTTTAATGTTTTATAACTATGTATGTGTATATATATAAATATAAAAGTACTATGTATGCACACATGTGTGTATATATATGTATATACATATATAGAGATATAGAGATATATAGAGAGGTTTTGAGACAAAAAAAAATGCAGAACATGAAACCTAACTGAACAGCGCGTGCTCTGATTACTTGAATCTGGTCTCCTCGGCACCTGGTTATTAAGAACTGAATATTTTTCCACTTGAATTTAGTGCTATTAGAAATTTAATATATGTGTTTTATTTATTTGATTTTTTTTGCATGACTGATGCAAGGTTTGACATTTTCACTCAATAAAAACTGGAAAAAAAATCCATCACGTTATCTCTTATTTTTAAAATTAGCCCCAAGAGGCTGGCCATGACCCAGTGTGTGGGGTAGCCCAAATCAGCTAGGATCTGAATACCAGCCCAGGGAGAGGAGGGGAGACTTGGCCACTTTAAAGCCCAGAAGGGCAGGGGTGCCAGGATAGACCAGTTTTGCCTCTGGGCATAAGGCCAGGTTCTCCCACTATTTGCTAGAGAGAAAAGATAGGGGCTCAGGCCTTGCTCCTCAACCCCCACCTGAGCCTCAGGAACCACTCCTGGAAAGGGCCACCCTGCAGTGAGGCCTCAAGCCTCCCTAGGCCTCACACTCTGGCCAGCCCACCTGTGTATTTTCTGGGGCTACAGGGCTGCCACTTGGCAAGGGAATCCCTCAGCTCCTTCCTTCTTCCTGCAGGGACCTGCCCAGTCTGGGAACAGCACGTACCCAGATCCAATCCGGATGCTGGCGAGGCTCCTGCTTGGAGCACATGGTGGCAGACCCAGAGGCAGAGTGTCATGGGTCTGCAGCCTTCACACCAAGGCCTAAGCTGCTGGGCTTGGTGGCACCAGGGTTGAGGACACCACTGTCCCTCGGCCTCAGCCTCACCCGCACTGTGCCAGTCCCACTGAGCTGGTTTCCAAGTGGCCAGAGCTGCCCAAGGACAATGGGAAGAGAATCTAGAACCCGCCATGGTCTCTACTGAGCACATCACACTGACTGTCAAATTCCTGCAAGTCACGCTCTCACAAAGCTGGTCCTTGCGGTACCCGGCGCCCCTCCTTGAGCCTGGCGTACACTCAAGCTCCAGCCAGTGCGGGTATGGAGACCAAAGCGTGCACAGCCTCACCTACTGATGCCAGACTGGGTGTGTTTCCCACCAGAGAGGCTCTCCTCCAGCCCAGCTCGGAGCACCCTTCCCTCTCTGCTCCTGGAACTCGGCCCACAGGCTATTTACATAAATATGTTTCTAACAGACATGAAAATAGACATTTTTTTGGTCTTATTAAAATGTTCAAGTTGGAACTCGCCTGTTGTTTGTGGATATCTTGATTCTGTTAAATAAAACAGTGACTAATTTATGGGACAAAACACAAGTTCAACAAATTAAAGCCTTTATTGGAGTTTCACAGGCCCGGGTGGGCTGTGTGGCTTCCTGTGGGGCCTGAGGAGAGGCAGGGAGCCAAGCTCGGCTGGAGATAGGCTGGTAGGTGGTGTGGCCACGGGGCTCCCTCCAGGCACAGCACAGTAGGCATCAGGGTGGGACTTGCGGAGCGGAGGCAGTTTTGGGGGTAGACTCAATCTTGATGGACCTCCCCAAATACCCACTTATCTCCTGTCCCTAAGCTTTCTGGCTAGATCTCAGCAGACCCACACCCAGGGGATGGTGGGCCAGCTTCCTAGTGACCTTCAGACAGTGTCCAGGGAAAGGCATTAGGTGTCCCTCCAGAGAATGGATGGCTGCCCCGAAGGGCACACACCCCTGCTTCAGGTACATGAGCCCACTTAGATGGTGTTCCAGCCCTGCCCCTAGAGCTAGGAGGGCAGCTAGCTGCTGTGGGTGGCACTTCACCCCAAGACCCAGGCCCCATGATGTTCCCTGTGGCCTGTTGTACTTAGTACGAAATGTTGTAAAACACGTTTTTGTTCTGGGTTTTAATTAGCTGTGGTGGTGTAACACTTCAACACCCAAACTGGGGCAAATTCAAGAGTTTTGTAGCATCGGGAGATGAGCTGGAAACAGCAGTGCAGGCTTGTAGCTGAGCTCAGCGGCCAGCCTCTCTCCCGACAGTACTGGCCGGGGTGTTCCAGTAATGCCTCCCCCTACCCCTGCTCAGGATAGTGTTGGGGGATACACAGTACTAAGACGGTGCCCTCCTGTGCAGTATATCCAGGCCACTGGGCAACACAGGTGTCTATTCACTGTCATGAGAGGTGGCCCCAGTGCCACAGGTGGCTTTGGCCTAGAGCCAGGACACAGGGATGAACATTCTGCTGCCTAAGGGCAGGCCAGGTCTCCAAGAAGTAAGGCCCCCAGAACGCTAGAATCTGAAGACCCTGCAGAAGTGAAGGGGGCCACCTATGCCACCCTTTCTGGAAAGTGCTGTCCCATCCTGGGGGCAATCTGACAGAAAGGGACTTCTCGGAGGTGAAGGGCAGGTGCATAACCTCTGTGGGATCACATGACTAAAAGGAAACGCCACTTCTCCACCAAACCTGCCTGCCTCAAAACTTGGAGCCTTTAGCTTTGCCAGAGGGAGAAAACTTGAGCCTTTAGGGGCCCAGTGCTGCACCTTGAATCTATACAGGTCCCTTGCAAAGTGCCCTGGAGAGGATGCCATAGTCAGGGTGATGGGCTAGCCAGATGTCAAGCTGCACCCACACTCTGGTTACTGCAGCTTTAGTTAGGGTCCAGGGAGGCTGGAGGGGTGGCCTGGCTGCTAACACATCTCCTCTGCAAGTACAAAGACCCGAGTTTGATCACCGGAACCCACATAAAGATGGTGGGCTTGGCACACACCTGTAAGCCTGTGCTGGAGAGGCAGAAACTGGAGATTTCTAAGGCTTGTGGCCAGCTGGTGAGCTGCAGGCCAAGGAGAGATGTCTCAAAGGAGGTGGACAGTGTTCCTGCGGACGACACCAGAGGCTGTCTTTGGCCTTCGAGTACACACTCACAGGCATGCACACACAGAACAACCAAAGCACAGTTTAACCAGAAACAGCTACTCATCACCGTC